CTCTAGTTAACTTTGAAATTACAAATATCTTCTTCTGGTTTGTTTCTATTTCAAAAATATCACCTCCAAGAGAGAGAGAAGGGGGATGATGGTAATTCTTCAAGGACCGATTCATAATTTGTGAGAAAATTGAAGGTCTTTGTAATTTAGGCTAAATGGGGTAAGTTTCAAAATAATTCCCTTTTTGATCATCAAATAGCTAAGATGTTTACAACAACACACAGGTGTAAAGTGATGATTCAGTCAGCAAAATCGGACGACGAAAATGAAGAAGGCAAGACCCGACCAAAATCCCGTAAAACAGTGACAGGAACAATCTATTCTATCTGGGATAAAGAAGGTTTACTTGGTTTCTTCAAAGGGCTGCAGGCACAAATGCTGAAAACCGTTCTCACATCAGCACTACTTTTGATGATAAAGGAGAAAATCACCAAGACTACTTGGGTCTTAATGATTGCACTAAGAAAATTCATGTTGGTAACGAGACCCAAAATAAAGAGTACCTAAAAAATTCCCCCATCACCATAAACGCAAAAGATATGCAATAACCTGATTTATTAAGGAAGATATTCGGTTAAGTGTAGTATGTGTGAAGATAAAGTTTGGATTCGGAACTTTTGAGGTGCGAAATTTGTTTTGTGTTATTGTATTCCCGGGATAGAATCCGGTTGAAATAAGAAGTTATTGTATTCCCTCGATAGAGTTTGGTTTAGGGAAAACGATCGTGCGATTTGTACTTATAAGAAGTCATAGACATGAAAATTTCTTGGATGAATGACATCAGTGCAGAAGGGCCAAAACATTGTGAAGGTAAAAAATACATGTATTTGAACCCAAAGATACCTGGAGAGATCTTTTAGGCTATGAAACCTGAGAATAGTTTGGCAGAGGCTTTTTTGAATGATTGAATTATGATGAGTGAAGAGAAGGATACACATAAACACAACTAAAGCTAAACTGCAATATTTCTTTGTTTCCCTTTTTACCCTTTATCAAGATGTGAAAAAACAAACCTGCTCCTATCATTGGCACAGAAACCAAAAGGATATTCTTAAATCCGATTAGGTTATCTACACTATTGAATATTGGCCCATATTTGTGGGGAAAAAAATGTATTAGTCTGTCTTAATTTTTACAATGTAATTAAACTTTATCCAACATTTTTTTTTTTTCGAAATGATAGATTTATTAATAAAAAATACATAATTATAAACGATTAACTAGCAGAAGTAGGAGGACTACTCAGGATAGTCTAGACACCACAACGCACACACTACAAGACAAAAAAGAAAAAAAAAAGCTCCTCAACAGATTAACACTCTCCTCCTTAAAAAAAAAGCTAAAAATATATAGTAAATGTACATAGAGATGTATCTATAGCATTTCTCCTCCTCCAAAGGAGAAGAAAACAAAACATAGGCCACAAACAAAAACAAACACATAAAACACTACCAAAACACCAACAACACAAACACAAACGATTTAAGTAAAACAAGTGAGTATATATTATGTTTTCTATTATAATTATTAAAGCAAAAACCCATTAGAGGACAAATAAACATAGCTTCAAATTCAATAATAATAAATTATAATAGAAGATTTTACCATTTTTCTTTTGCAAAAATGGTTCACATGAATACAAGAGGAGAGACGAAGAAGAAGAAAAAACTAGTGGACATAACTCACTTCGGATAACATGTAGCATGCACCCCATGTAAACAATAAACACACCCCATCTCTACAAACCAAACCAATTATATTTCCTCACAAAATTAAAGAAAAAAAAAATATTAACTATAATCATCGTCTTCCCCTGGAAATTAACACTTCACCTCTGCAAAAAACCAGTTAGCTCCAAGAATGGTGGTTGCTGCCACCGGGCGCATGGCCCCATCAGCCACCGGAAATCACAATCCGGTCAGATTTTCCGGCAGAAATGGAAAATCAGCAGTAAACTTCGGCCATGGAGAACTAATGGGCGAGAAGCTCAAGTTTTCGCCTTTTGTTCAAAGGAGCAAAAACCGTGCTATTCTTACCACTCCTCAAGTCCGCAACTCACTTACAGCTGATTTTTCAGGTGAGACTAAGGTGAGTTAATAGCTCATTTAAGCAAGAAGATTCAAGAAGCTTCTTTTGGTATATATAAAACTCAAAAGGAAATTAATTTAATCCCGAAATCCATTCATGTCAAATAATCAAGAATGAATCAAATACAAGAGCGGAAGTGTACCAGACTTCCAAATAGATATAGATATGTACTTCCAAATAGATATATATTTTTTTTTTTTTCTTCATTTCCATATAGATATGTACTTCCAAATGATCGAAACCTTATAGCAGATTGTGTATACTGTATATTTTGAAATGAAGATGATGGTGGTTTTGAAGGGAGAAAGCACGCTGCTCGTAACCAAATAAATAATATTTTTGATTTTCAGTTTAGTCCTTCAACAAACAGAAAATCTACACTTTTAAATCTATAACAATTTGATACACTATTTATTCACAATTATAACTTTAGTATATCACTTTAATTGAGTTATATTATGACAACTGTATACATTTAATTTACATACGTTGTCCAAATAAATATTTCTAACAGCTTCATCCAAACATAAATAATTACAAAACTAAATATAATCCTGAACATTTGTAACCTTTGAACAAATTTGCATAAGTATTCCCTGAAGGGATGTTTGTAATGTTTTCCTATATGTATTTTTTTTTTTTTTCTTAAGAAGATATAGCTAATGGGATAGTTTTTGTAACTATTATCCACCAACAGATTGTATGGCTATGACTAACTGAATCAAGAGGAATGAGTTGGGAGTTAGGAACAAGCTTTTGGGTGTGTGTAAAACTCAGGACATGTTTTTTATGCAAAAAATAGTATGATATTAAATTATTTGACAGTTGAAAAACCTTGATATGGAGAAAAGAGATCCAAGAACAGCTGTGGCAATCATTCTCGGAGGTGGGGCCGGGACTCGTCTTTTCCCTCTCACTAAACGTCGAGCCAAACCAGCCGTAAGTCTCTATATATACACTCTCATCTATGAGATGATGTCATCATTGTGCTCATCATGTTCTTGAAATTGATCATTAGGTTCCTATAGGAGGAGCGTATAGATTGATTGATGTGCCAATGAGCAATTGCATCAATAGCGGCATCAATAAAGTGTATATCCTCACACAGTTCAACTCAGCTTCGCTCAATCGGCATCTTGCACGTGCTTACAACTCTGTTGGCAGTGGGGTTACGTTTGGGGATGGCTTTGTTGAGGTTCGTTTAGTTATTTTTCGAATGTTTTCAGTTCTGAGTTATCCCACATTGATTAATTTTGGAAAAACGAGCAGCCTGGTTTATAAGCATAGTGAGCTACTCTCTGTCGCCAGTTAGATTTTTTTTGGGCAAAGTGTAGTAAAATTTGCTCAAAATTGGAAATAGAAGTGAAAAAATTGGTGATGACTGTGGATAGGAGAAAATAGATGGAAAAAAGTTGATTAATTTTTCAGGTGGGGCCCACCGATTTTTTTTTTTATTTATTTTTTTTTGTATTTTTTCACAGGTTTTGGCGGCCACGCAGACGCCGGGTGAGGCGGGTAAAAATTGGTTCCAAGGTACTGCGGATGCTGTTCGGCAATTCCATTGGTTGTTCGAGGTAGTCGTATTTCTAGTTTTGATATGAACTGCGAAAAAAAAATTAAAAAAAAAAATCGGATAATTTGGTTGTTATGATGTAATTTTTATTTTGTTTAATAATTGTTATTGCATGAAACATAGGATCCGAGAAGTAAACATATCGAGGATGTTCTCATTCTGTCGGGAGATCACCTGTACAGGATGGATTACTTGGACTTTGTTCAGGTAAAGAGAAAAGTGTTGCATTACTAAAATGAAATGTTTATTCATAGAAATATGTTACATAAACATAACACAGTGTTTGTTTATGCAGAATCACAGGCAGAGTGGTGCAGATATTACTATATCATGTTTGCCGATCGATGACAGGTAGAGCTTTGTTCCTTTCTTTTTTTACTTTTTTTTTTTTTTTTTTTTTTTTT